ATTTTGAAAAGAATGAATTTTCTTCGAGTTTCGTTGATCGATAATTTTATCCTTGATTGGTTAAATGAACGCGAATTAATAAATAATAGAGAACTACGTATTCTTAATTAAATTAAGATCCATCGTCGTTTCTTCGTTTCCATTATTCGAGTGAAATGGCGGAGGAAAGGTTAGATTAATGAATTTGTTTTTTCCAAAGGAAAATCTAATGGAAATTAAATTAAAATCAGATGTTAATGAGAGATGTTATATTTTAATATAACGTAAATTGATTCGATCGTATATTTTAAGATTAGAATAAAATAATAGCGATTAACAATTTTGCAAAGATAGAATTATTATTTTTGAAAATAATTTTCCCAAAAAAAAAAAAAACATTTAGAAACATTCATCTTATCGCAGTTTCTTAAAATTTAACGAATTATTAACCAACACTTAAATATTCGAACGAAATAAGATTATCGTTCATTTTTTAATTAGAAAAGTATGAATTTCAAAGAAACAAATTTGCGGATATATTACAGAAATTTGCATTGCAAATCCTTTATTTCGTTTGTTAACGATTTCTCTTGCCGAATAATTGCGATCCACCGTGTCTTTAGGCTTCTACATTTTTGCCAAGGATCCTTTTATACGAAGATTTACGTCCCATCGTAATCGTCCCACCACTATCGCACGAAAGATGAGATGGAGAAATTTGAGCTTGCAAATGGAAAGGATGTCTTTCACGACTAAGGGGCGAGGGTTGCTGGTCGTGATTATGAATCGATCCCAGGATTCTACCGGTCGAAGGCAAAATATCTTTTGTTGCTCGATTTCTCAGATCCGTATAATCGTATATTCTAAACAAACGTAGCACTCGTGATATCACGTGTATAATTTTCGTCTCGAGAATGTTTGAATTGTTTCCATTCGAGAAGATTGACAAATGAAAAATAAAATCTTGTTCTATGATGATAAATATTATGGGTTTAAATAATGTTTCGACGCATGGCGAAAATTCTATCGAAAGTGAATTTGAAAAAAAATTCCCAAGTTCAAGAGAGATATTCTTGAAAAGATAATCGAATTGTTGGAGTCCATACTTTGCGGATTTTCCACTTTTTAAGGGTGCTTAAAAATTTGTAGGTCAGCAGTTTTCGAATCTTGTACGGTACGGAGGAATTAGACAAGAGTGCTCTTTTATATCGTGGCTACGAAGTTGCACGCGATCAAGTTTTTAAAAGGGCACGATGGTCATCAATTCACAGGCGTCCTCGGTCTTCGTCATGCTGAATATCGTGACGCGTTATCATAGGACGAGCTCTCGAATTTATATCGCAGGAAACATCCTAATTTTGAACAATTTTCATAACTCATTACGATAAAATAATATCCCTCGATTTCTGACAATTTTCATTCCTTCCAATTTACAAAAATTCTCTTTGAGAAAGTCTCTTTGACAACTTTATACGAATTATACGCGATACACTCTACGTTCTTGTGTTCTAAAATATTCTCACTCCGTTATCGCAACGTCAAATATTTTCCTCCCAAATTTGAATAATTTCTCGCTCTATTATTCCCACGACTTTCGAATTTAAAAAGCGCCCCATCCTCGGCATTTCTCCCCCTTCTCGAGCCCGCCATCTCATTCATTCATCCATCCCCCAAATAATCATAATCCCTTTAAAAAACTTTGCTAACAAAACCCGTCCCACTTGTCGCTCGTACCCCGATAAAAGTCATCTGCATCGCAGATTTTCCAAGACCTCCCGAACAATGAGTTCCGAGAAAACGGTATTTTCCATGGATGGAAAAAGGTTGTTCGTTCACGAGCTCGTAGGCAAGGCAGATATCGATACAGAAGTCAGTGGCTAAGTGGCTTTAAAAGAGAGAGCGCGCTTTAAATTCCGTTCGAGCGCATTGTCCCGCGCCATTTTTGGCTCATCGTGAAATTTATCGAGGCGAGGCATCGTTGAATAATAAACACCGGCAGAAATGGCCGCTCGTGAATCCATTATCCGCCGTTTCTATTCGTTACAGACTTCGTCCTTGCTTCCTTCGTTCCTTTTCCACTTCGCTCGGTTCCATCTTCTTTGCGTCGTCGAGATGCTGCGTCTCGTTTGCGGGAAAAAATATGGAGGCGTCGTTGTTGTCCGCCTTCATCATTCTCTCCATGCCAACTTTGATAAAAGGGGAAAACTAAGGGAGAATTGCGATCGAGCGAAACGTTTTCTGCAAGGTTCCTGTTTTTTTTTTTTTGTTTTTCTTTTACGTCACCGTTCAGGTGTTATTAACGAGATCTCTAACGCTTCGAGAGACTCTAACGTTTTCCAATTTGCGTCTAATTTTAGGTTGATGTGCATTAATCTTAATTCTACGATCGTTTTTTTTTAGCGGTAAAAGGAAAGATTTTATGAATTCCAAAAATTACAATATCTCCTAAACTAAGTTTGTATTTTTGTTTATTAAGAATGTTAAAGATATAGAAAAAGTAGATCAAAGTT